GACTTTAATTTACACGAGTCACTTGCAATAAATGTACTGATCTGATAAAGGAAAATAATAAGGGCAAAGCTATGCATTGTGTGAAGTCAATGGGTAAACATCATTGTATCCTTCTTCTCAATGGTACTATACCTAAAACCATTCTACAATAGTAAAGCATTCAGAAATAATACTAGAATTGTACTTTCATCTACACCCCTCTTTGCTAATTAAAAACATTTACATACAAAATAATTGCATATACAATTGTCTTGCAGAGTCTCAAAATCCAAGCAAAACTGATCATTGAAAACATTCATTTCGAATGACATAGAAGATCCTAATTACACAAATGCCTTAATATTTCTTCAGGTCCAGCATACTGGTCAAGGGTTAAGTACATTTAGAGTCAAAAGAAACCATTTCTCTGGAACCGTGCTGAGAATGTGGTACATGGGAGCACCGCTGGGAAAGGAGCAATGAATGGGCTCTCTAAGATGTAGTGCACATGGGGTGAAACCTCAGAACCCCATTCATGTAGTGCACATGGGGTGAGTGACACCTCAGTACCCTAGTCTTCTGTTTTTCTTTGGAAGCAAAATGTTTTGAGCAGAGGAAATGCTACCAATGTTTAAATTTTTTTACCAAGAATGAATAAGTAAAAGACCAGACCACATGTATGACTTCTCCCTGGGCACTGTCTAGGCACCATCTAAGAACTATCTGGGATTAGTGAAAAGGATTTGTGAAGATTATCTATCCCATCAGAATCTGTCACATGAAACTTGATTTGTATCACTTCTTAACCTGCTGACTAAGATCAACTGAATTTTTATTTCTAAGTTATATTTAAATCTCTCTCTTTGTACTAAGCACAACTGCTACTACCATAGACTTAAAAATTTATCTTTCAAAACAGATTGTATGTTCCTCACTCTGGATATCAAGAAAAGCAGGCACATTTATTATTTTCATGGATTTCACTTTAGATTACTGTCCTGACTTCTCAGCCTGGAAAAGAAGTGATCAAGCAACTGGAGAAAGGATTGAAAGATATAAACCTACTTAGTGTCAGAAGGCTGCAGGTGGTTGAGGTCACAAAAGACATCCAAGAACGTGTAGACTCACCATCTCCCATTGAAGAACCCAGCAATGATGGTAAGAATTTTGCTTTTTGCTGTTTCCCATGCTAGTCTTGACCTGGCAATCTTCCTGCCTCAAAAATTTTTACATTGGGGCTGGAGAGATGGCTCAGTGCTTAAGATCACTTGTTGCTCTTATAGAGGATTCATGTTAGTTTCAAAAGCCAATGTCAGGCCTAGTCTCCACCCCCTCCCTCCATCCCCCTCCCTCTCTCCCCCCATCCCTCCCTCTGCCTGCTTCCTGTGTACCAGCATATAAAGTTCTAGGCTATGCTCCAGCACCGTGCCTGTCTGCTTTCCACCATGATGATAATGGACTAACCCTCTGAAGCTGTCAGCAAGTTCCCAATTAAATGTTTTCTTTTATAGAAGTTTCCTAGGTCATGGTGTCTCTTCACAGCATAGAACAGTAACTAAGATGGTTTCCTATCACTCACTATGGGCAGCTCACAACCACCTTTCAGTAAAGCTCCCGAGGGTCCAGGGCTTGCTTCCACAGGCATCCATATACATATGGCATCCATTCATGCAGACACATATACAAGCATAATTTTTCTCAAAAAAGAAAGAAATCTCAACAGGGATACGTAATATGGTACTTCTTGGAAGTACCTAAAGCTTCATTAGTGTACCTTAAAGAAGTTATAATTGGAACATGATGGTAGATAAAACACTCAATATCATTAGAGCTTAATTCTCCCCAAATTGACTTACTAATGTGATTCCAGTGAAAATCCTATCAGAGTTATTTTTGTTGATTTTGTTTTGGCTTGGTTTGGTTTTGTTGTTGTTGTTGTTGTTGTTTGTTGTTGTTATTTGAAACAGGGTCCAATTAAGTAGTTCTGGTTACCAAGGCTTCCCTGGAAAATAAGATTTTCCTATTTCAATCTCATAAATTCTGAGATTACAGTTGTGTGCCACCACACCCAGCTCTCTTTTGTTGTGGTTGCTGCTAATCTGATGAGCTAATCCTATGGAACGTGTGTGTGCACACACTCGTGTGCTTGCACGAGTCCAAGTTAAGGCACATGTTAAAGCTAAGGATGCGCTTGTCAGGTCTAAGGGTAATTCGTAAAGTTGTTAAATAAGACAGCACTGGGGCTTGTCATACTGCTCAACCACAGATCCTTTGCCTCACATGCACAGTGCTCTGGTTGCTACACCCAATATTGAAAAAAAAAATAGATCCCATCATACTGACACAGGAATAGATGATTTGTTCTGTCTGAAGCATATTATTGAGCCCAGAAGCAGAAAGTCATATGAAAACTTGATATGCACTGTGGTTGCCATGGAAAAACAATGAAAAAAGATTAATGTAGTTACTAAATCATTCTAGAACTATCAGCATTCCTTTCAGGAGAAGGGGAAACTGAATCTCTACAATCTGCATTTCATGCTAAATGAATTTAAAACCTAAATATGAAAGATAAAACTTTTAGAAGAAAATGTATAAGAAAAATTTTTATGAAGATAGATGAGGAGAAGGACTTGCCAAATGAGACACAAAGTCTGATAATGACGGAAGATTGAGTGTCACTATATTAAAAATCAGAATTTTTGTTTGTCAGAAGATGCCATGAAAAAAGTAGTCAGAAAAAAACACAACTACATCTCTAACCCATATAACCAGTAAAAAATCTCTGTCTGTGATACAGAATTTGAGACATCATCACAAAGCAGAACATCACGGTGAATGAACCACAGCTATGTAGAACAATGTGAATGAATCTTTGGTACTGAGGAGAGGGGAAGCGTGCAGCTAAAGGCATACAGAGGATGCTGCTTCTTTACAAAGCTCAGGGAAGTTGAAACAATAATGTATTGCTTAAAGTAGTAAACTGCTTTTTAACAGGAAGAGAATGATAAGGAAATTCAGTGTGGCAAGCCTTCCGCTGAAGATCAGAGAACAGCACACAGATGTATCAGTGCTATTAATGCTATTCTACATCTCAAGTTAAACAAAAAGAATCCATGACTGTCCAATTATGGTTGAGCTTTTGGAGCCTACAAGAACACACATAGTATGGCTTCATTTGCATATAATAAACTTTTTATAATAGCCTTCTAAAGAGTGGGTAAGCAATAAATATGCCAAAACTAAAAAGGCCACGGTGATCAATATCCTTTGGCATCTAGACAGCATCTGTCCAGGTTGACAACCGTCGGCACTGATTGGGTATGTAAGTCTTGAACCAGTTACAAATCAACTTAACGAGACTGCCAACGAGCCTACATTTCTCAGCCATGTACACAAGGATATCAGGTTCCTTTGCTAAGTGCTCACAAACCATCTGTTTAAAATTTCCTCCTAGAGTTTACCAGGGATCAATGTCAAGCTCCCTTGGAAAGGTATTCTAGCCATATGTGTTCTCAGGAAACACCAAACATTAACAATCCAAACAAAGAAGATAAAGATTCATTGCTTCTTAGAAGATCACAGAAAGACCTAGGTAGGGACAGGGTGTCCCCTCTGTACCTGAAGCAGTTGTCAGTGTCCTATTCTCCAGTGTCCTAGAGAATAGACCAGGGTGAGCAGCTGCTTGCCGAGTTTGTCTTTGGTAACTGCATTAAAGTCATTTTCTTGTGGCATTAAGACTAAATTAGAAGCTCTGTTGTGTTTGCAACCTAAAGATTCTTAACACAGACAGACATTTGTTTCATTAACAGAAGCTATGGTCTCAGAAAAATAGCAATACCCCTTTTGTAATTAAAGTAATAGGAATTTAGCAGAATATCTGAAGTTATTTGAAAAATGAGATTTTAAAAGTTTGTCCCTGCCAGTTTGAGGAATAATCTACACACCAGAAGTTATCCACTCAACACTTACCACTCAATGAGTTTTCATAGTAGTATACACCTACAAATCATCACCTCAGACAAGATATAAAACACTTCCGTCATGATCAAAACATCAGTCCCACTGATTATATTTAAGATAAGTAGAATCATACAATGTATACTTTTGTGTCCAGCCTTGTTCATTCAGATACTGAGATCTGTCCATGTTGTTTATATCAGTTACTTTCTTTTTATTGTTGAGTTTTTAATATTTTATGTAAATGTGATATTTTGCTTAACTATTTGCCTGTCAGTGGACACTTTGGTTTCCAATTTTTAACTATGAATAAAGCTGGTAAGTATCTATGCACAGATCTTTCTGTGTATCTGTGTTTTCATTTCTCCTGCATTCTTACCATTCATCATTTCTCACACATGTACTTCCAAACATCTGTGTGTTTATATTTAAAGTGTATTTGAGCCAGGCATGGTGGTGAATGCTTTAATCCAGCACTCAGAGGCAGAAGCAGGTGTATCTCTGAGTTTGAGTCCAGCCTGGTCTACAGAGTAAGCTCCAGGACAGTCAGGGCTACACAGAGAGACTCTGTTTCAAAAAAACAAACAAACAAGAATAGATATATAATGTAAATAATAAAATAAAATAATCAAGATAAATAATTTGTTGTACAAAACATATCTTTATATTCATTCTGATAACCTCTAAGTTTTATTTGTAATGTATGCTCCATTAATAATTACCTTAAGCATATGTTTGGTTTTAGGTCTACTGTTTTATTTTTTGTTTAACTCTGTTTTTGTTGGTCTTTTCTCCTCCTGCTTTCCTGCCCTTGAGGGGTCTACCTTTAAGTTTTTTTTTTAATTTGGTGCTAGAGAGATGGCTCAGCAGTTAAGAGCTCTTGCTGCTCTTCCAAAGGACCCAGGTTCAGTTCCCTGAGACCACATCACACAGCTTACAACCACCTGTAACTCCAGCTCCAGAGGTTGTAACATCTTCTTCTGGCCTCCAAAGGCACCTGAATATGTGTAGTACACACAAAGACACATACACATAAATATTTTTTTTAATTTAGCTGTGTGTGGTGGTGCATGCCTTTAATCCCAGCACTCAACAGGCAGACGGAGGCACATTTCTGTGAGTTCAAAGCCAACCTGGTTTTACATAGTGGATTCTGGGCCATCCGGGGTTATATAATGAGATCCTGTCCCTGCAAAACAAAAAACAAAAAACAAACAAAAAAAAAAAACGAAACAGAAAAGGCATTTTATTTTTATTTTATATATAGTAATTTTAGACATTCATCTTCGAATTCACATTCAAATTCACAAAAATAATTCACATTTTTTGTGGCTTCTCTGGGGAGTTACATTATATTTTTGTCGTTTTGCTCTCTATTTAGAGTTAACATAGAACCAAAGGGCTTTAAATCTATTTCAAAATTTTATAGCCTACTTAAAATTAATATAGCATTATTGCATATAAAATACAGAAACTTCACTATTATGGAGGTGCATTTATCCCATTTCCCATATAGTCTATCTTTAACTTGTTTGTTGTTTGTTTGCTATTTCTTTGAAACAGGGTCTAATAGAGCCAGACTGGTCTTAAACTCAATATATACAGCTGAGAATGACTTTGAACTCCTGACTGCTTGACCTGTACCTCTCAAATTCTGAGTCCTAGGGTTACATATACACTATTGTTTATGATGTAGTGATCATATGTGTTCAGTGCTCAAAGAGGCCATAAAAGGGTATCAGATCCCCTGAGACTAGATTGACAGATGGTTGTAAGCTGCCATGTGCATGCTGGGAATTCTCTTAACTGCCAAGCTGTCTCTCCCTGCCTCTAGTCTTAAATCCTGGATCCTCCAGCTTTACCCATATATTTTTGCCACTGCTAAAGCTCCTCATTCATTCCTATATAGATATCCAAGTTTCCCTTGGATACCATGTCTTTCCCCTTGAAGGACTTTGGTATTTTTGTAGCATGGGTCTGGTAGTGACAATTCTCCTCTTTGGCATTTATCTGAAAATGTCTATTCCACCTTCATTCTTGAAGCGTATTTGTCTCATTCATAGAATTATAGATTGTCTAGGTTGTTTCAGTAATTTAGAGATATTTCACTGTCTTCTGGCCTTGCCTGGTTTCTATCTAAAAATGACAGCCCTTAAATCATTTCCAGCTATCTGGAAAGGATCATTTTTCTGGCTGCTTTCATGAAACTTGTCTTTATGTTTGTTTTCAGAAGCTTGGTAATGACATAACTAAGCATAGATTTCTTCTCATTTATCCTGTCTGGAGTTCACTAAGCCTCATGATTCTGTTTGTTTTTCAAGATCTGAACATGTATTTGTTACTTTAAAGACTTACCTTTGACTGGGACTCAGAAATAGAAGCTCTCAGTGAAGATAGCCTACATCTCTTGGCAATCTGTTCTTGGCATTTTTCTTTGGCTTCCTTCCTTCTCTTGGCCAGAAGTTTAGGATATTTTGCAACCTCCTTGTTTTTCTTAATGGGTTGTTTCTTCAGAGCAGTATTTTGGCATTGCAGGACAAGTGGAACGACAAGACTCTGAACTCCGGTGCTTTGGTTCCGGGCTTACCTTCTGTGTTTAAGGACTTTCCGACAACTTACCTAAAGAAGACAGGCATCATCTTCTTTAGACAGATGGAACAGCTTTGGGATTCTGCTGGCCCATTTGGGCCCCAACTGCTGAAGTATCTGTCAGTCTAGGAATATCCTTCTCCCCAAACTGAGAACTCAGATTGACATCCACAACGCCAAACAAACTTGTGCTTCCTCTCTCCAGCTCTCCTTGGTCAATAACGAGAATCAGGTGCACTCTGACATGAGCCAAGATACCTTGCTTCATGGGAAAGCCTTGGGTGCCGTTCCCACCACTGATTCAGACCACATAATCAACCCTTCCACTCTTCACCAGAGCATCAGCAGCTACTCCTGTGGCCTCATGTTTCTCATAGAAAGTACAGTTTGGCATTCATCACCCACTTTGATGTGTTTTTCAGTGTATTTCTGATAGCTGGTGACTGGGAAGGACATATACAGCTTCATCTTCATACAGCTGACCACTTAGGAGGCTCCAGGAAAAAAAAAAAAAGAGCTTGAGTCTATATGCTTTATTTTTCTTTTTAAGACAGGGTCTCACTGTGTAGCCTTGGCTGGCCTAGAACTCAATTTTGTTGACCAGACTGGCCCAAACTCACAGAGACACTCCTGCCTCTGCCCCCCACAAGTGCTGAAGTGAAAAAGGTATATGCCACCAAAACATATATACTTAAATTTGTAACCTAAGTTGAAAAGTTTTCTGCCATTATTTCTCTAAATATTTTTGTGCTATATCCTTTCCTCTTCCTCTAGGACTCCAATTATTCATATGTTAAAGTGATGTGTGCCTCTTCATCTGATTTTATAGCGCTGGGAACAGAACCAAGGCTTTGTGCATACTAAGCAAGCTGTCTAACAGCTGAGTCATATCCCTGGCCCTGTTTGTTTCTCTTGTTCATTTTTCTCTCTTTGAGTCTTGGAATCACCTGTCTTTTTTTTTTTTTAAGATTTATTTATTATGTACACAGCCTTTTGCGTGCATGTATTCCTGAACACCAGAAGAGGGCACCAAATCTCATTATAGAGGGTTGTGAGCCACCATGTGGTTGCTGGGAATTGAACTCAGGACCTCTGGAAGAGCAGCCAGTGCTCTTAACCCCTGAGCTATCTCTCCAGCCCCTGAATCATCTGTCTTTAAGTCACTCTATAATCTTCATCCCGCTTTTAAGCCCATGTGAATATTTTTGTTTAGATGTTATATTTTTAAGTTCTAAAATTTCCATCTGATTATCGTTTATATTTTCTGTTTCTCTACTGGCATTTCTTATATTTCTATTCATTGTGAACATACTTTCCGTTCCTCATTGAGAATGATTTTAATTATGCTGGTATGAAGTCCTTATCTGGTAGATGCAACATCTTTGTCATGTTACGGTTTGCATCTGTGATCTGTGTTTTCCGTTGAGACTGAGTCATGGTTTTCTTTTTCTATGTGCCAAAAACATTTTGATATTATTTTGTGGATGCTATGATATAGAGATCTTAATTCTATTGTGTTGCTTTGGAGTGACTTTTTTTTTGTCAGACGATTAATTTTGTTAGCCTCAGACTGCCACCTGTTGGCCTACAGTGAACAAGTACTCATATTCTCAGTCCCATTCTTTTTGTGTCTGTTTTTGCTTGTTGTCGTTGTTATTTGAGACAGGGTCTCATTAGGTCACCCTGGCCGCTGTGGAATTCACTATGTAGACCAGGCTGGCCTTGAACCCACAGAGATCCACCTGCCTCTGCCTCCTGAGTGCTAGGATGAAAGATATGTGCCACCTTGCTTGGCCTCAGTCCCATGCTTTAAACCTAAACTCCAAGCTATGCTTAGTTTGCCCCATGTGTGTAATGTAAGGGCCAGCTAGGGTCTTGGACTGAGCTTAAGCATGTCATAAGTGCTCTATGGCTCTCTCTTTTAGTGGAAGTCTTTCTCATTTCTGGAGACCCTGGTTCACCTGTTTTCTTTCTCTGACAAAAATCACTGAAACACATACTTTTCTCTCAAAGCTTGGGCTGGGGAAATAGCTCAGTGGACAAAGTGTTTGCTATACAAGCATGAGGACCTGAGTTTGACCTCGGGTTAAATGGCCAGACACTGCAATACCTTCTATAATTCCAGAACTGATGAGGTGGAGCAGGAGGATCCCAGTAGCTTACTGGCTGGACAGTCTAGCCAAAACAGTGAGCTACAGGTTCAGTGAGACACTCTATCTCAAAAATAAGATGGAGAGCAATAGAGGAAGACACTAAAGTTGACCTTTGGCCTCCACACATGCAAACACGGGATCACACATTTGTGTACACATACATACACTCCCACACACAGAAACAAAATAATGTTTTTCATTAAAATCTAAGCCAGTGAGTTGTCTCAGCAAGTAAAGGTACTTACTGACAAGCCCAAAGAGAGGAGCTCAATATCCTAGTTTAGTCTCTAGGACCCATGCAGCTGAGGAGAGATGAAGGAGAGAACTGACTCTTGCCATCAGATTACCAATGCTCTCTCTCTCTCTCCCTCTCTCTCTCCCTCTCCCTCTCTCTTTCTCTCTCTCCCTCTCTCTCTCTCCCTCTCTCTCTTCCTCTCTCTCCCTCTCTCTCTTTCTG